CCCAAAACACACACAAGCCAAACCAAAAGATACAAACCCTGGAGTACAAAGATGAGAAAGCAGAGCAGAAACCATATTATATATATGTACACATACACACACACACACACACACACACACATTTGTATTAATTTCAGAGAGGAAGGGAGAGGGAGAGAGAGATAGAAACATCAATGATGAGAGAGAATCATTGATTGGCTGCCTCCTGCACGCCCCCTATTGAGGATTGAGCCCACAACCTGGGCATGTGCCCTGACTGGGAATCCAACTGTGACCTCCTGATTCATAGGTCGATGCTCAACCACTGAGCCACCCTGGCTGGGCAGAAACGATATTCTAATGTAAGCACTTCTGCTCCAGCTCTCCCTCCCTCCACAGCACTTGGAGATTTCTATTGTCACTGCAGATAGCTGTTTCACGCCTTTGCTGTGCCTGGAAACAGAAGGTGCCTGGCCTAGCTTTACTCAAAGTTCTGGTGGCGCAATAATACTCTACAAAGCCATGACACTGGAGATGTAGAATAATGCTTGGACTCTCTATCGATAGAGGAAGAGGTTCCCATAATACAAGCCAGGCACTTTCACAGAGGTTGTTGCCTTGTTACAATGACATGCTCCGCCTATGAGGTGCTCAGCTCACCACCAACACGGAGGCGCCTATCTGGATCAAAGCAGGTGGGGGAGACATTCCCACCCTGAGCATAGTCTATACCAGATAACCCATGAAGTTAAAGAAAATACCTGTCATGCCTTGAAGAAATCAGGTCAAGCCTAATAAGAATCATCTGGTAGGTTCTCCCTAGTTCCCCTAACCTAGTCTCTGTTTGCTTCTTGTTCTCGGAAACCTGCAATCATAGCGCATTTTCAACAAACAGATGAATAAGTGATAGGAAACTAAAAAAAGAGGAGAGCACGTAATGCATTTCCTGGTGTTTCCCTGAAGGTCCACTCATCATACTGCAGATTTAGAGAGAAAAATCAATAAGAAGGTTTTTCTCTGTATAAACCATGTGATATGTAGTCCCCCCTCCCCGCTCCTGCTTTGAAACAGACATTGTTATTCCCAGAAGCATCTCTAATAAAACATGCTTTATTCTCTCAAGGATGGGGAGAGGGCTAAAGAGAGGCAGGGACCTCTGTGGCCCTCAGTCCTGCTCTCAACTCCTCCTCTCTCTTCCTTCTTGCCTTCCTGGTCATTCTCCTGGGCTGGGGATGCCCCATGATGCCTGCCCTACTCTGGGAAGATGAGAGAGAAAGCTGTTTGATTTTTCTCGAACATTCCCAATGTTTCAAGTTAGAACTTGAGCCTTGAAAGAAAAGGAAATCTTTGAAAATGGCTTCAATCACTTTCCATGATCACAAATAGACATCCAATCACCAGACTCAAATACTTGTTCCATTTTAAACGGGGAAGAATCATTCATTCATTTTCATTCATTCATTCCTTGGGCCTGGTACAGCTCAGAGGAAAGGTATGCACACAGGGGTTTATGAGTAGGCAAATAAGTGCTGTGTGGATCTAATAAGTTAGGAAAAGCATTAATGGATTGCTTTTAAGCATTTTTGATATTACCTTTGCTTTGAAAACTCAGTTTGATTTGGTAACAGAATACCATACGAATTCAGGTAGTCACAGAAACACGTTATCTCCCTAGCCCTGACATTCTCCTTTCTTTTCTATTTAATCGAGTAGACTTGCCTCCACTTGTGCTTTAGCATCACTGAGTAACCACTTCAACTGGTTCTTTGTGATGTAGAAGGTTTCTTCCCCTTGGCCCTGCACCTACACTTTCACAACTAAGTGGCTTTTGTGGAGAAGAGATGGGAAAAAGAATTTGCATCTCATGCTTGGTTATCTTTCCCAACCTCCAGTGGGTACAGGAATGCCAGGTCCAGAACAGGTTCATGGCACCCTCTGGGACCATGATTTCCTCCCAGGTACCCCATTCCCCCTCACTGCCGTCGGGCCGGGCGGAGAGCTGCCATATGGCTCCACCCTGCCCCATATGGCTCCATCTCCCTAGCAGGGGCGCTCGAGAACATAAAACGCTGCTGCACACTTTTATTGCAGCCCCTTCTCATTCCCCTCCATCTGCCTTCCATATGTTTATGTGACTCTGTCAGGCTCTTGCACACAGAGCCTTTTGTAAGAGGACTGCCGGCCGGACCAAGATAAAGAACTCGACTTCACCTCCCTCAGTGACAAGGAGCCTCGATGACTTTCCATATGTGATTCCTTCAGCATTCAAATGACAACGCACTCATACCCAGTGTCCTGCAATTTGTACACAAGATGTATTTTCTTTCATATTGATGATCTCTTTCAATTTTATCAACAAAAGCCACATGGTGGCTCCTCTGTTGACAGCACAGTGCACAAAGTTTTGAAGAACTGCATGTGACTGCCACATAGGCACCCCTGTTACATGCACGTCAATCTCAAGTTGACTTTCTTATTGTCCTAAAATTCTCCTTTGGTCAGAGAAGTCTTTACCATTTCCCCCCACAAGTGTCTGTAGAACAACCTAAAGTGTGTCCTCCAAACTCTAAGAAAAGGAGAAGGAATGAGGAGAGGCTGACCCCAAACGGTGTCTCCTCCTGCCACTAGCGAATTGCCAGTATTCTGGTCCCAACTTAGGTCAGACCACTGCCTCTAGTCCTCTGAGCATGGGGCTGAAGTGACACTGTTGATCCCAAGGTTGGTATAATTGATAAGAAAGTGGAACAGCAGTCACCAGACACCATGCACAACACCAGTTCCTGACAGGAGGCAACTCCTGGCATGAGGAAGCGTAAGCGGGGTGATTTCTCATTCCCAGTGTTCGACAGCGGGAACTTGTGATTGGCCACCTTTCACAGGAAACCAATGGCAACAGGAAATAAAGAAAAAGAAATCAAGCGAGGCCTTGGGTTGGCTTTCATAATTTCTACCCTTATCAATATGCCCTGGGCACAAAGTCTTGTGTTAAAGAATAAATTGTGGTGCTATTAAGGAGAAAGCATTTAATCCCCCCGAACCTCTACACATGTTTAAAGGTGTCCTCTTTGTGGCAGGTGAGTTGCTGGTGTTCTAGTCCCAACCACCTGTGAGAGGCAGTCAGGTAATCACGTACACGAGCACTCTGGAGGTGCTCTCTGGTGAAGGGGGACAGGGAGCGGTGCCCAAGCACACAGACTATTAGCCAATGGGCACACAAAAACACCCGGCCAACTACACTTCTCCTTTGGCTTGTTTGTGTACAAATGACAACTACTGATTCCCCCACCCCCCACCCCCCACCCCCCAAACATACCTGTGCAAAATAAAGTACTTATCTGAAATTTGAGATAAAACATAACATTACTGTAGGAAACCTGACTGGGTCATTTTGCTTTGTTTTCCTTACCCACCTACATATCTCACACATCCTTGTTTCTCTTAATGCCCTTTGGAATGCAACAGAGAGCCAAACTTCAGTTAGTTAGGTTCAGGGAAACCTCTGGGATCCAAGGGAATTCTTGCTCCCACCGATGCTGTCAGGTCATAATCCTTCCTGCCTGGGAAAACCTTCTGAGTTCCTTTGTACTGAGACAACTGAAAACTGCCTCTTCTCGCTGCAGTCAATATCGGATCGTTCGCAAACTGGGGGCATCCCAGGTGCCCTGGTGGCAGCAAGAAGTGCCTTTCCTTCAGGGGATCGAGTTACCAGACTCAGGCTGTGGCCAGGGGCCTAGGCATGGGAATAATTGCCCCAGGCTGGAACAATTTACAGATCTGGGGAAGAGAAGCAAGTACTCACCTTCCTGTAAAAAAGACAGTGGGGCTAGTCCCTCTGTACGTGGAACAGTAGTGTTTGCAAGAGGGCAAAGGTGAAAGAGCGATATGGGCATTTTGCTTCCAGATTAAATAGAAAAGGCAAGGGTTTCGATCAGTCAGACTTCAGTGAGTTGTAATTTCTGGACGGAGGGGCTGTGTGCATCCTATTCTGCACAGCAGGGCGTGCTCTGAGAGGCGTGCAAGCCGCTTGGGAAAAGGCACAAGTTGCTCAGCTTATATAGTTGCTGAGCAGTTTCATTAACTGTTGACATTTCCCTGGGAGGCTGCTCCCTCAGTCCAGAGCCCCCCACAGGCCAGGTGAATGCTCCTTAACCCTTTGTCTGTCTGCATTTCTCCCCATTGAACACTGGCCTCTGGCCAGCCCTCTTTAGGTAAGGTCTGGTAAAAACTGCCCAAGAAACCAGAACATCTGCCTGCGTCTCCTCCTCTTTGTACAGCTACTTCCTCGGCAGCAGCCGCTCGGATCTCCGTGTATCCATTTAGTGGATTTAAACAAAACGGCACGGGTCCGAGGAGGAGGGGGCATGGAGCATACGCTGGATCAGCGCCCCCCCCCCACCCCTTACCCCCCGCAGGGCTGCCACAGCAGGAGGCTTGCTCCTAAGGATACACAGGGACAAGGGCAGCTGCTGCTGCTGAGCCTAGAAGCAGGAGACAGCTTGGTCTTACCTGTTTCTTTGTCCTGGACTTCTTCCAGGTGCAAGTCATTCAAAAGATGCTCCAAGATCTTCTCGGGGGTCCCGGACACAACCACGTATCTGTCAGAGAGCAGAGAGTCCACCGAGTCATCCTCCGTGGAGGACTGCGAGCGGCTGCTCCACGCATCGTCCTCGTCCTCCTCGTCAATGTATTTGAAATAAGGCACATCGAAGGTGGGCAGGGGCAGCGGGCGGTCGGAGAGCCCCGCGCTGTCCTTCCTCTCCAAGTGCGGGTCTCGGACCCGCAGCCGGGAGCTGCCCATTGTGCCCGGCTCCTGACAAAGGCATCCCCTAAACGCTAGGAGATCTTGGCCATCTCGGGCTTTCCCTGGGAACTGAGTCCATCTGGCTGCCGAAAGCTCTGCAGTCAGCTAGAACGCGGAGAGGCGGAGAGAGAAAGGAGGGGGAGGAGAAGGAGGCAGAGGAGGGAGCGGGGAAGGGGAGGCGGGCGGCGAGAGGAAGCGGGAGCCTGAGCTCTGAGGAAACTCACCTCCAATCGCTGTCGGCACTCCCTCCTGGGGGGGCCGAGCCACCACGCTGCACCTTCCTCAGCACCAGGACGCTCTGCTCCTGCTCCCTGACTGTGGTCACCTCACCATCCTGCTGTCGTGGGGACGGGACAAGGAAAACAGGAGAGAAAATTAAAAAGGAACTCACTAGGGTGGCATTTTCATGAGCTGCTTTGTGCCATAATTTCTCTGAAGATTCGGAATAAATTAGGAGGCTGGCCAAGAAGCTCCCTCTTGGACAGTGTCCAGGCTCAAGTTCTACAGACACAGAAAGCGTGAGGGAAACAGAAATACTCGGAAGTGTTTTCATGTCACGAGGCCTTTCGGTCTCGGGGAACTGGTGTGGCAGCAGGTAGAGTTAAGTGAGAAGATGACCTTTATGCATGGGGGCAGAAAAGGGGCTAAAAATTAAAACAAACAGAAAACCCATAAAGTGGGGATAAGGATTCAGACTGTTCATTGTTAAAGCTACCCGAATGGTTTGAATGAAGGAACCCAAAGTTTCACGAAACACAACATATAAGTTGCATGGGTATTCCCTTTTACCTGGGGAATACTTACTAAACAATCACCCTTTTAGAAGGGGAAATTCGTTTACAACATATTCTTTACAATTTATCTGTATTGCTAAAAGTATGAGAGAAGTCCCCTTTCACCCTGAACCCCCTGCTTCCCCCTCCCTCCCCTCCCTAGGCCTTCACTGCACTATTGTCTGTGCCCCCCTCCCCCAACCTCATTTAAACACAAAAACAATGAACAAGCCACATTAAATAGTGGTAGATAGGCATACTCAGTCACGTCACAGCCTCGCTTTAAAAGGTGGGCCTAAAGCGACCCGTTCGATCATTCAGTTCCATTTCCCCGCCCTCCCCCCGCCCCCCACTTGAAATGGGCCTTCCAATTTATCATGTACTTGTTTTACCAGAATGAAAGCAACAAGGGGTCTCTAGTAAGAATCTCATCTCGGCCGAGATTCGGATGTCATGGGTGAGTGCCCTGACTTTCTTCACCTCAGTCCCTTTGAAAAAGAAGAGAAGGCGGAATAATCATTCATTTCTGCACACGCAGCTCGCACAGCCCACAGCCAGCGTGGCCGCTGACGTGGCTGTCGGAGTGGGCCCGCTGCTGACCCAGCAGTGTGCCGCGGGCCCGGAGCGATGAACTCTCTCTGAGCGTGTCCTGTGAAATCCTCCCCATGTGCTACAGCCAGTCAGTGTAAGAGAGCCAAATGCATGTCAGAAATTCCAGTTTCCGTATATCTGAGGATTTGAGCAAAGAGATTAAAGCAAGAAAAGTTGATAGCAAAGGAGGCTTTATCTTAAAAATGATGTCTTTAACAAGGGAAACCTGTCCTCGGGCCCCCTGTAAGTTTCTGCTGCTGACAGAAAATCCTGCCTTATAATTAAGTGCAAACATAAAGAGCAGTCTTCCCCATAGGAGAAGAGGCACTAGGTCTGGCCTGCCTTATTATCCATCAGTCCCACAGACCTACAGTATATTGTTCACCCTTCATAAGGAAAGCAGGGCACTCATCTTGTTATAACTGCCAACCAAATCAGTGATAAAATTATGATCTCAGCTCCCAGGATCCGGACTCCTAAGACAATGCGGTGTCCTAGTCGTTTGAGTCCTCCAGGATCTTCTTAAACACACACACACACACACACACACACAAATACTAGTCATTCTAAACAGCAACGTAATTTTACGACGATGCTTTTTAAATCTTTTGGTGGCAAATAATTTCCCTATGTAAAAAGCTGATGTATTACATTTCAGCAAGGTCACACACACAGTTACTGTGGCAATTAATGTGGGATATTCATTGTTAAACTCCCCAAGGACAGAGCGCGATTCCGGCAACATGAATACCAATGTGTAATTGCTATCTCTCGTTTCTCCAAAGGGCTTCTTTTGTTATCCACAGGAAATAAGGTGGCCAAAGCGAGGGGCACATATTGAAAAAACGTGGGCCTGGGATACGGCGGCACACGGAAACAAATGATTCAGTAAACAGTAGGTTTGAAAGGAGAGAAATCTCCCCCTGGCTTCCCCCTTCTCAGAAGCTAATGCTCATTTTGCATGAGCCCACCGCCGTTCTGACATACGTTGTACATCCTCTGAGCACGTGATATATGGCGTTATTAACTTCCACGGGCCATGCACACACATATGGATGGGAAGGGCTTCCCTAATGTCTGTGCGACTAATATGCATTACAGGGCCGTGCACAGAGCAGCCACACTCTGCTGGGCAGGAGACGAGCTGCATCAAATTGATGTGCTATCAATAGCACCTAATGTCATAGTGATGGTTTCCATTTCGAAAACCTGTTAAAAATAAAGGAGAGAAAAAGCAGAAAAATCAATGTATAAAGGGAGATGTAAGTTATCTAAAATTGCCATGAAAACATGATCACCCTCTGTATCATAGCTGGCTCTCAAGAAGGAAGGCTAGATGAATGCCTCCAGTCCCATGCATCCTCCCCTACTTGCTCTTCCTGAAAAAAAGAGCAGAAGTGGCATGGTTAGGGGTCTGGGTGTGAAACTTTATTCTAGTGCTTGCTTGGTTAAGAAGAACAGTATTTAGAGAACTAATGATGGGAAATCGGTTCAATGACAAGTAGCTCATAGATGCAAGTAAAGCATTAAAACACTTAATTTACAGTAACTTATTCAACAAACAATGAGGATCTCACATGGTAAGGGCACTGTGCTGGCCACCAAGTGGCAAGCAGAGATGAGTAAAACAAGTCCCCTGCCCTGAAATGACAAGTTAAGAGGCTCCATAGCAATGTAAGTCTAACTTAGCACCCAAAAATGAGGCCAAATGTAAGAGACAACTCAAAGCTATAACCCAGGGGATTTGATGGTCAAAGATGACTGTGGGTGGCAGAGAATGAGATGCCATTAAATGGGGCAAAAAATGTAAAGAGAACCTGGTTCTGGTGAGAGTGGTGAACCTGGTTTCAGACAAGTGGTGTTTTGGTAATGCTAACACATCATGCTGTCAACATGTTTAGCAGACAGAAATAAAGGGCGAGACCCCTGGACAAAGGTCAGGGACAGAGACAAATCTGTGAATTATTCAAGGTTGAGGACTGGATGGGATTGTTAGGAGGGTACAGGAGAGAAAGGGTGAATGCTTTATAAAGGTAAGGATAAAGAGAAAAGACACAGAAAGCCCGGGGAAGCGGTAGGGATTAGGAGTCATGGAGGAAATCTAGGGACAGAGATTATGAAAAAGTAAAATCAACACGAGTCAGGAGAACCTGGAGGGCGCTTTCTCAGGAGATTCCAAGAAAAAGCTCGTCTGACGCTCGCCAAGTTCACAGAGAAGGTAAGTCCAAGACAAAGAGATGAGAAGATCACTTAAGGTCCAGTGGTGGGGAGAGCGGTGTGGAGGTGTGAGTGAATGGAGAGGGAGTGAACCAGGTATGAGGAATGTCTTCATGAAAGGGAGTCAGACCGAAGAGCCTGCATGGCTGGGCAGGCAGTGGAGAGTGGGTATGGAGAAGATGTGACAGGTTCAGGAGCACAGTGGGGGGTTAGACTATAAAAAGACTGAGACTTCATCTTTTCAGAGTAGATCATGAGAAAGAGGATGAATGAAGATTTTTTTTAAATATATATTTTATTGATTTTTTTTTAACAGAGAGGAAGGGAGAAGAATAGAAAGTTAGAAACACCGATGAGAGAGAAACACCGATCAGCTGCCTCCTGCACACTTCCTCCTGCGCACAACCAAGGTACATGCCCTTGATTGAAATCAAACCTGGGGCCCTTGAGTCCGAAGGCGGATGCTCTATCCACTGAGCCAAACCGGTTAGGACTGGATGAAAATTTTTTAAAAAAATAATTAGAGATAATGAGGAAGCTTAGGTAGTTCTAGGAGATGGCTTCTATCTTCTTAGTACAATGGGAACCAAGAACATCGTATGGATCTTTGTGCCTAAGTAGATGATTGGGGAAAATGGGCTCAGAAGGTGGTGAGGTAGGAGACAAGATAAGAAAGCTACTGAGGGAGGTGGAAGAGTACCACTGGACTACAGGTCAGATGACCTGTGCGAGTGGCAGAGACTTTAGGAGTGAAAGGACTTCTGTAGTGGCATCAATGATACAAAAGGTGAGATGGGGAACAGTGTATATTCCCAGAAGGCACCATGCTTCATGCCTTGGCCCGTGGTTGGAATATGCTGTGAGAAACTCCCTTCTCTCCAAAACATACATTAACCCTCAGGTATGCATAAACCAGTTCTTGCCCTACTTTCTTAAAGGGATGGTGGGAGGAACAGAAAACTACCACAATAAACAGTTGTCCTCAACTGAAGGAGAGGGAGGATGCATCAAGGGTATTTGAACATCAAGGGCTATCAGAAGTATGAGGGCTTCTGAGTTTTCCCTGCTCCTCATCTTTGTTCCATTCATTGGGTGAGTAACTCCGATTTCTTTTATTTATATGGCTACACTTCTCTTCTGCCCATGAATTCTGAATGAATAATAGAACCAGTACCTTTGACTTACTGTAGAGTCACTTCCATGATCATGATCAGCTTTTGTACTTCAAAATAAAACTTTGTTCTTTCATTTACTCACATAAAAGACATACTTATTTTAAGATGAAAATACCTATGGGGCAATAAAAATATTGTTTTTCCTAAACAAAAATTGATGTTCCCAACTTAGCAGGTCTAACTTTGGTTTGAACCATGTTTCGGTCTGTATTTATATTTCCATTTACCACCAATACTAACAAGAGAAAGTGATTGCTAAGGGACTTCTCAGCCCTGCTGGCATTGCCACAACTGCTTCCTTGAGTTTTCCATTAGCAGAGATAATGGAAAATATTCCTCTCTTAAGCACTCCCATAAAGCAGCCACTGGCGCTCTCCATGGCCTCATGTCCCTGCAGCTCTGTGAGCATAAACTTTTATAAGAGGGCTTAAGTAGGGTTTTGTGGATGGGCTTTAGGGACGCAGAGGACCCTCTGAAAGAATATAACATTTTTTCTAAGCAGAGCTCAGAATTCTAAGTCTCACTGAATCTATGCACCCATAGATCTATGGCACAAACCACCCCATACCCAGCAACTC